TGCTAGCAAATATAGCTCTTAAAAATGGTTACAAAGAAGATAAAGATAGAAAAATAGAAATAATAGTACCAAGTAACAGCTTAATCTTTAAAGAGCTCTAAGTCTATGTGTACACTTAAGACAGAGGACCACATCCAGGTACAATTTTTACCCCCTTCTGTGCCTCTCGACTCCAGCGTGTCAGGCCAGGGCCGGTCCCTCAATTCCTAGGAAAGAAGAAAATATGAGGTGGGCGTCCCCATGGAACCTCGGGAGGTCAAAACACCTAATCCGGACCAGCAGGTCGAGGGTAGATTGACACTCAAAGTGAGTGTGCTGCTGGACCCATCTTTATACCCATGGTGTCACGTATTTCTCTTTCTTATCTGTGATGCCAAATGGTGCTGGTCTGTCTTTTGTGAGACCAGTTCTTACAAGGAAGTTGTGAACTTAATTTACACTTGTAAGAGAGATAACTAAATTGGAAGTACTTGGCATTCTTTTCTCAGTGGGAGATTCCTCTCCCAGGGACTGTGTGTGATCATACCAACATCGGTGCCAGCCGGGGCAGTTCTCGCCGCCTCAAGGTCAGCTTATTGCCTTAATCGCGCTCTCCTCACATCTATGTTTTCAGCTTCTCAGGATCAGATGAGCCAGCATAGACTATGCTAATTTTATTGTTCCTTCTCTGTCCTGTATGCTTCAGGAACCTCAGAGAGGCAAATAAGATGGATGTGAGATGGGGGGGTCTGTCTGGCTACACTGTGGGACTTCATCACGTCACTTAGGGCCCGGCATTTATAGGTGTGACTGCACCTCTGCTTTTTTAGACACCTTAATACTTTTATAGATATGACCCTTCTTGATCTATAATTGCTCTTGAAATTCCCACTGACTTTATTGGCACGATTTCACCTCTGGCCTCTTGATTCAAGCTGGGCATCCCAAAATTGAAGCACCCCAAATCATTAGTTTGGAAATAGTTCTTTGTCCAGCATCCTTTCCAAAAAAAGGTTTTGCCCATTGAAAGTTAATATTCTCAGGCCCAGGGTAGGGCTGCTGTGTAATTAGAGGTGAGACTCTGACTCAGGCTGGAGAAAGGTTACTAGGAGTTCCTCAAGGACCAGGCTTGGAATCAGTCTTATTCATTCTTTTTATTAATGATCTTGGCACAAAAGTTAAGGGAAATTTACTGATGCCACAAAGGTAGGAGGCATTGTCAGTACAGATGGAGACAAAACATCATACCGGAAGATTTGGATGACCTTGAAGACTGGAATGGCGGAAGTGGAATGAAATTCAGTTGTACAAAGTGTAAGGTCATGCACTTAGGATGTCATAGTATGAATGTCTGCTACAAAAGGGGATCATTAATTGGAAGCAGTGGAGGTAGAGAGTCTTGGCTGTGTGACTCAATCACAGGATGACTGACAAATGCCATCCTAGGAAGTATGAGGTATTTTTAATAGCGATAGAGGAGTGCTGGTGCCTTTTGTGCGAGAGACTGGTAATACTTCATTTGGAATACCTGTGTACAGTTCTGGTTACGCATGTGCAAGATAGATTATTTTAAACAGGAACAGGTGAAGAAAAGAGCGACTGGTCTATTTTACAAGAAGATTGGAAAAGCTTATCTTGTTTAGTTTAGCAAAAAGAAGTCTGAGAAGGGATATGATTGTTTTCTATAAATACATTGGGAGGGGGTTTAAATACCAGACAGGGTGGAAATCTTTAAGTTAAAGGCAATGCTGTTACAGGGACAAATTGATATAAAATGGGCCTGAACAAATTCTGGCTGGAAATTAGGTTTCTGTCCCCCAGAGGGATGAAGTTCTGTAACAGTCTCCCAATAGGAGTTGTGGAGGCCAAACAGTTTTATTAGTTTTCAGAGAGTTGGACACAGTTTTCCGTGTAATTGTATGATAAAATCTTTAAGTTAAAGGCAATGCTGTTACAGGGACAAATTGATATAAAATGGGCCTGAACAAATTCTGGCTGGAAATTAGGTTTCTGTCCCCCAGAGGGATGAAGTTCTGTAACAGTCTCCCAATAGGAGTTGTGGAGGCCAAACAGTTTTATTAGTTTTCAGAGAGTTGGACACAGTTTTCCGTGTAATTGTATGATA